CAGTGAGAATTAGCAGTTTCTGCTGCATGATGCCTTATAGAACAGTAATTATAGGTTATAGCGATGCACATCAGCCTATGGCTATAAATGAGATGACAGTACTATTTATGTCCAAATTGGCCAAGACTTTTATCAACTGATTGACTACAGATCCTCAATGTCCCTATAAAAGCTTATGTAGATTTTTTTGTGGGATTGTCAGCAAAATTTGTAATGAGCTCAGAAGTAATTATATTTTTATCGGTTATCCTATTCAGAATTCCTCATAGCAACAACAAAAATGATAGCAAACCCATATTAGCAAACACTTGCTAAGGACTTTCTACATGCTAGTCACTCCTCTAAGAACTTTACATATATCTGCTTACTAAATATTCAAATATTAGACCCATTTACCAGGTGAGAAAATCAAGGCACAGAGAGATCGAGTAACTTGCAATGTTTCAGAGCAAGTGAATGGCAGAACAGGATACAAATTCACTGTCTGGTTCCAGAGCCTTCCTACTACATCTCTATATTCTACCCTGCCATGCTTCTATTGCCTGTCTCTGATAAGGGTACTATCTTTGTTTGCTTCAGCTGCCATCTATAATAAAAGCATAATATGCTAATTAGATTGGACAGCCAAACAACCTTCCAGATGTCATTCCGGACATCCTTCCTGACAAAGACATGGCGGTGGGGGCCCAGGCAGAGGCAGTTAGGGGTGATCAGGCAGGCAGGTGAGCAGTTAGGGGCGATCAGGCAGGCAGGCAAGTCAGTGGTTAGGAGCCAGCAGTCCCAGATTGTGAGAGGGATCCCCTAAAGGGTCCTGGATTGTGAGAGTGTGCAGGCTGGACTGAGGGGACCCCCCTCCCATGCACGAATTTTGTGCACTGGGCCTCGAGTAATAAAATAACTTAGTTAGGGTGACTTAAACAACAGGTATTTATTTTCTCACAGTTCTGGAAGCTAGAAAATCCAAGATCAAGGTTCCGGCAGGGTTCCATTCCTGATGAGAGTTCTCTTCCTGGCTTGTATGTGGCTACCTTCTTGCTATCTTCACATGGTGGAGGGAGAGGAAGAGAGCATGTTCCCTGGTATTGCTTCCTCTTCTATGAGGACACCAGGTCTATCAGATCAGGGCTACACCCTTGTGATCTCAGTTAGCCTTAATCACCTCCTTAAAGACCTATCTCCATTACAGTCACAGGGAGATTACAGCTTCAACTTATGAATTTAGGGGTCACATCCACTCCATAGTACGAACTCTTTTCTGCCACTTCCCAAGCCATAAATCCTAAAGGTGCCGGAACTCCAAAAATTAAAAGATAGCCCCTCTCCTAAATTCCGTCTTCTCCTTTAGCACCTCGATTCTATGCAACAAAGCTCACGTGCAGAATTTCACAAAGCTTCCTCAGAAAACTGGTCCTGTAGCTCTCTCTGTCTGGAATATCAGTTCCAGCTCCTCATCTCAAGTCTTAAATAGTGAACTTGCACCCACCTTTTGTTCTCATTCACTCCTGTCTTTCCCCAGGGGCAAAATTCTTCTCTTTTATTCCCCAAATAGAGTCTCCATTCCCTACCCCATAAACGTTAGCTCATGCAAAGGGGCCGGGAGAGAGACTGCCAGTTTATCACAGTCTGAGTTTCAATGTGGCTAGGCTGGCACAAGGCGTTCTGGGGTATACCCCCCTCCTGTGTACAGCCAAACTGACCTGTAGAAGTGGGCGGAGCTGGGCACACAGCTTGTCAGTTGTCCCTTTGCTGCAAATCAAGCAGTGTTGGTCCCTTCCAGAGGAAAGGGGGATTTGCTAACGGGTGACCCAAAACAGGAAGAGACAGAATCTCTGGGGCCATCAGATGAAGCTGTTATGATGCAGACGGCTTCGGGGAAAATACTGCATGTTAGCTAGGCCATTGGCCATTATATATGACAGCCGCATGTCCTGAATTTTCTAAGTCAGTCCAATTCCAAATATCCTATCACCTTGTCAGACCACGTATTCCAATTTTGTGTTTGGAAGATGTGGCCACCAAATCTTTAAGACTCTAGATCAGCATATTAGTTCAGGTGATAGAACCAACCTTCATAATAATGATGGCTATGCTTTGGCAAAATAAACCTTAAGGGGCAAAATCAGCGGTTCTCAACCTGCATATCAGATATTTTCATTACGATTCATAACAGTAGCAACATTACAGTTATGAAGTAACAACGAAAATAATTTTATGGTTGGGTCACAACATGAGGAACTGCATTTAAAGGGCCAGAAGGTTGAGAACCACTGGGCAAAATCAAAGCTAATAAACTAAAGCCACAGAGACCTCTAGAAAGAGGAATGCCATTCTCTAAAGTCAGTGTAAGAGGTTTGCTTGCCCTGGGAGGCATTTGTAAAATAGGACAGGATGGGACCCTCTTCCCGGTAGATGGGAGAGAGGAAGCCCTGAGGGAGGGCAGTCTCAGAGTGTGCAGTAGGTAACCCCCAAACTTCGAACCCCACCCTGCCAGGCCAAAGAGGAGGGTCTTGGGGGCTAGTCAGGGCAATTAGCCCTAGACAAAGGTTTAGGGAGGGAAAATGAGGATCCCATTATAACCCAAAGTTTCAGTCACTGAAATCTACCACAGGCCAGAAAGCTGAGCATTGCAATTTAGCATCCATCCTAGAGAGGAGGGATGGGAAAAAAGAAACTGGTGTTTACACACTGAAAAAACATGCCACTATTCCCTGGCCGAACAGCCTGTATAACAATTATGTTAGGACGTCAATATTCTGTAAAATACCTCTATACTTGTTTATGACATCTGGTTTTATTTTACTTTCCTGATTACTATCCATTTTTAAAACTCTAAATCTTATTTTTCGTTAAAAAGAGGATTTTGTATTTTTCTTCTCCTTGATCAGAATAGAGAGAGGGCTTGGGTTTCTATTAAAAAACAGTTAATGGTGTAGCAGTGAGTTTGATAAACACAGGTGTTTGGGGGATGCAACAGAGCTTAGATAGATCAAGTAAGTATGCATCTGTGTGCACGTCTGTGTGCATATACTAGTACACATTTTGCATGCATGTATGGGGGAGGGGCACAGAAGTACATATGAAAAGGGTCAAGGACATCGAGGGTGCTGATCTCTTCCAGAATGGCAACCAAGCCCTGACCAGTTTGGCTCAGTGGATGGAGCGTCGGCCTGTGGACTCAAGGGTCCCGGGTTTGATTCTGGTCGGGGCATGTACCTTGGTTGCAGGCACGTCCCCAGTGGGGAGTGTGCGGGAGGCAGCTGATCGATGTTTCTCTCTCATTGATGTTTCTGACTCTCTATCCCTCTCCCTTCCTCTCTGTAAAAAATCAATAAAATATATTTTTTTAAAAATGGCAACCAAAAAGATGTCTTAACATTGACAAAATTGAAGGGTATTGATTTCCCTATCAGGCGAGGGTTCAGAGGCTAGATGGCCAGCAGTTAGGACATTGTAGGGGGGACTCCTGCACTGAAGGGCGGACTACATGACTTCCTCACCTTCAGGAATCCGTGAGTCTCTGAGGCAGAACAGTACCATGCTGAAGAGCAAAGATCTGGAATGAGAAAAACCTGGCTAAGCATCCTGGTTTCACTAAATACTAGCTACTTGACCATGAACAAATTTCTTCATGCTAAGAGCCCCAAAGTAATAAAGCTTCGTTCATGAGTCAGCATTCTTAGATGGAAGAAACTGACACCAAATGATAATTTAAGGAGAAGAGAAACTTGTTAGAGGATACTGGGGAGTTTGCAGGAAGCACCAGTAAAATCCACTGCTGCCTCTGATGTCTCTAGAAATATAGTTGCTGCTGTTGCTTCTGCTTAATACTATCTAAAAAGGGGTTTTGCAAAAAAAAAAAGAGAGAGGAAAAAATAGAGAGAAATAAATCATAAAGTATGGTGGAGGGGGTGGGTGGAGGGATACAAGGTAATGGAAAATTTTAATTTAATTTTAAAATTTGAGGGGAAAACCCACAAAATCAGAAATAAATAAATAAATAAATAAATAAATAAATAAATAAAAAGGGTTTATTGGGGGGTAACTTCTGCTTTTCCTTGTCAGCTGTGAAGTGAACCTGTCTGATTGGTGGAATGTAGGTCATGGGCCTATGCCCTACCTACAAGGGAGGCTGGAAAAGGAACTATGATAATGGTTGCTATATGCCAGGCACTTGTCTCTATTTCCATATACTGATTCACTAAATCTTCACACACAAGTCTGTACGTCATCTCCATTTCACCGGTGAGGAAAATGAGGTGCAGTAGAGGAGAGTTACTTAGCTAGTACAAGCACACTTCATTTTATTGAGCTTAGTGTTATTGCACTTCACAGGTGTTTTGTGCTTTACAAATTGAAGATAAAACCCTTTACTAGTAAAAAGATTGCAACTTGTTTTGTGGCCATACTTGTTGCTTTTTTGTGTTGATCTGGAACCAACCCCGAGATATCTGAGTTATGCCTGTACGTGCAGAACTGGCATTAAACCTCATTATCTGGTTCCAGAGCCCACCATCTTTGGGAATATTTCTCTCTGTTCTTCACCTGCTATTTCCAGCTTCTACAGTGAAGGTCACGGTCCACCTCCAAAAACAACAGACTCTTCAAAAGAAGGGGATTCAATTCTGAATGACCAACTTAAAAATAAACAGAAGCTCATTACAATTTACAACCCACCTCACAGAACTGCCCCATGTATTAAAAAAGAGAATAATGCACATATAATTATTACTATAGTTATGGTGCCAAGTAAGGACTCTGTCAGTGGACATTTTTATTTATTTTTTTCATATATTTTTATTGATTTCAGAGAGGAAGGGGGAGGGAGAGAGAGATAGAAACATCAATGATGAGAGAGAATCATTGATCAAATCGGCTGCTTCCTGTACACCCCCTACTGGGGATTGAACCCACAACCTGGCATGTGTCCTTGACTGGAATTGAACCCAGGACCTTTTAGTCCACAGGCCAATGCTCTATCCAATGAGTCAAACCGGCTAGGGCTCAGTGAACATTTTTTATAATAATGATTACTGCTATTACTACATCATTCTTGACTTTGCTCAACCACCTCTTGGCTGCTTCTGCCATTTTTTACGTATTTCATTATAGTTCTGTCACTCATTCACCCTGTGACCCCAGCTAAGTGACTTCACCTTTCTGAGCCTCAGTCTCCTCATTTGTAAAATGGAGTTCCGTTTGGAAAAACAGCAAAAAGTTTGAACTACATGATTTCCAGGGCTCTTCCAGCTTTGACATGTTTGTCCACTCTGATCTTCCAGCCCACAGTGCCCAAGCCTTTCCAGTGGATTTCTGTGATTCACATCGTCCGTAACTCACAGTCTCATTCCGGGTTACATGCTGCATTGTATTGTTCTGTAATTGTTTCCTGTTGTTTTCTCTCAGAATCTGTTGCCAAAAAAAAAAAAAAAAAATGGCATGTCAGAACACACAGCATTTTTTTAAATGGATCAATTTTATAAATAAGAGATTAGTTGTAGCAGCTCTTATATGTACACACACACACACACACACACACACACACACACACACACACGTGCGCGCCTGCATAATCCGATACGATGCTCTGGTGGGCAGCCCAGTGGAGCCAGACCAGGTTAGTTGGCTGTCAGAAATCTATCCTTCGTTGCCTCACAAAAAGTCCTGAAAATTTTCTCGAAATAGCAGATTCTTTCCCCCTTTTTCTCCAGGTGTCCTGGGACCGGAGGGGTGTCCGGGATGCAGGCCCTCGGCAGCTTCTTAGAGGCCTGTAGCAGCACTGCCTCCACTTTCCCTCCTCATCCCCCATAGTTACCTCCTAGCTCATTAACAAGCAAAGGGCCCTTCCGTCTTTGTTCTCAGATGAGAGTCTTACAGTTGAGATATTTTGCTCCCCTTATCCTGTAACTTTTCAATTTTTGGTATCTCCACATAAACATTCATCCAACTACACCTAAACACCATTCATTACTTTGCCTTAGTTAACGTTCTACCATGATCATATTGATTATTTTGGTGAATAGCACCACCATACAAATAACTGCCCAGAGCTGAACCCATGATTCCTCCTTCTCTTTCATCTCTACCTACTAATAGTTCAAGTATTTTACAGCCTACCTCTTAAATATTGTTTTAAATATATATGCCCGCCTCTCTTTAACAGCTGCCACTGCTTTATTCTAGATACCATCTGGATTGCAGCAGTAGCCTCCTAACCCATCTCTCAGCCTGGAGTCTGGTCGCTTTCCAACACATTCCCCTCCCTGAAGACAGAGTAAATCTGTCTAAAGTGAAACCTGACCCTTCCACTCACCCCTATTAAAACCTTTCAATAGTTCCCCTTAGTTTTCAAGATAAAGTTCAAACTCCTTAGCTTAGCACATAAAACTCTTTGTGATCTGGTCCCTGAATAACTCTCCAGCCTCTTCCCTCCCTCCCCCCACTCCTCTATCGCACATATCCTTTAGTCCAACAACAGTGAACTGAACCCACCATGTTAATGCATCCAGGCCAGGGTACATGCATCATACACCCTCTGCATTAAATAAATGCCCCAGTCATCCTGCCTCATTCTCCAATTTATCCAGTATCCTCACTACATTTCAAAATGCAGCTTAATGGACATTTCTTAGGTAGGGTGTCCTAGCTAATCATTTAATTTGATTTACATTTACTTATTGTGTGCTTCTGTAGAAACCCTAGAATAAACTTTTTTCCCTGAAAAAGTGGATGGATGGATAGATGAATGCTTCTTTTTTTAAATTGAAATATATTTGACCATATAACATCAATGATCATTTTACATTAAGATGTAAAATGTTAATTTGATGCATTTGTATATTATAATATGATTGCCATTATAGTGATAACTAGGACCTCTATCACTTTATTTAATTTTCTTTTCTTTTTAGTGGTTGGAATTATTGACTCCCAGTCTCCTGGCAAGTTGATATCTACAATTTTTGTGTCTATGTTCACTGTCTGGTTCATTAAATCTCTAGTATTTATTACTCCTAGCAAGTTTGAACCTTTAAACAACTGTCTTACCCCATCTTCTGGTAACCACAATTTTATCTTCTCATTTTACAAATGTGTCCTTTTTTAGATTCAACATATGCGATATCATACAATACCTGTCTTTATCTGTATGACCTATCTCAGCATAACATCCTCAAGGTCATCCACATTGTCACAAATGTCAGGATGTCCTTCTTTCTCGTGACTGAATAATATTCCATTGAATGCCTTGATTCATTCGTCTTACATCTCCATGACCTAACACGGTCACAGATGCATACTCAATAAGAATTTATAAGAGTTTATTTTACCTGAAAGGTGCTTTTGTGCAATTAATCAAACTCCTAGTCTCCCTTTATGCATTTTTTCCCCTTTTATGAATTCTGAACATAACAGTATATGTCATCTACCCTAAGCAGTATCCCAGGCAAGTCTGTATATGGATCTGCATTTACATATGCCATGATTTCCTCTGCTTATTCTCTCATAAAAATACAGAATTGCCAGTGTAAGAGTCAGAGCCCTTAAAGATATTCTAATTCAGTAAGTAACCAACTAATGTGAAACAGTGGAAGCTACTGGCAGGGCCCTCCTAGGACCCCCTCCCATGCATGCTAAGACTGTTGGCTGCCAGGATTTGGGGGATCCCGGCCATGTGGGGACAGCAAAGCCTTTCAATAAAAACACAATATGCCAGCCAGCTGCAAATCCTACCTGCAATTTCTTCTCTTCCTCCTTCGATCCCAGGGAAATATGTCAGTGGACGCTATCAGGTAAGAGCTAGTCATTGATCTATAGGGCGTGAGGCAAGACAAGAATATTGATGTCACAGATCCTCTCTGTATAAGCTGCTCTGAAGTAGGGGAAGTGCCTTGAAAATTCAAGGCTTCCTGAGTTAATAAACACCTGAAAGGGTTACAATCACCAGCATGCTCTGCTTCCATACTGGATGTCAGTGCCTTCACAGCCAGCAGTAATTTGGGCCTAGAAATTGGGGTTTATATAATTAAAGCAATTGTCTTCCCTCACCTTGACATTCATTCTTTTCCTGAGTATGTTTTTTTTTTTTCCTCAGTGTCCAGTTGAGTGTGAGAGACCCCATCAAATAATAAAATGAAACTTGACTAAGATTTGAAAGACCTGGGTTCTAGCCCCAGGTGACTGACTAATACTTCCTTTCCCTCTCTCCTGGTGTTGGCTTCCTCCTAAGTGCACTGATGATTTGCACCAGATCAGAGATTCTTAACCTGAGTCTCATGGATGGGATTTGGGGTTCTGTTAATCCTACAAATTAGATACAACATTTGATTCATGCCTACATTCTTCCTAGGAGGAAGGAGCATGCCTTCTGTCAGTTCACAAGTGAGTCCATGCCTCCCCAAATTCATAAAATTGAGGATTGTAATTCTTTGGGGCAAAGTATATTTTGAAACTGGGAAGCAGCTGAAGTTAAGAGGGAGAAGTTGAACTTGACAGTCAGACAGGCTTGGGTTCAAATCCTAGCTCCTCCACTTACTTCCTGTGTACTTTTGGGTGAGTCCTTTACCTCTGGGACTCTGTTTCTATAAAATGGCAATAACAATACCTACTCCACACTGTTGTGAAGATGAAAAGAAACAGTGCATACGAAAAAAAATGTGTGCTAGCATGTCAGAAATTTTCAAGGAATGCTTATTCGATGTATACTTAAAGAAGCTTAATGTTGAGAGCTACTACTTCATTTTGCACCTAGAAATCTTGCCATAAAACTGATACTTTCTCAGGTGTACTCATGGACATAAGTCTTCAGAGTTGTTTTTTACCTTCACGTGGGTGAGACATGAAGTAGGCCTACATGAAGAACAAGTTTCTGTACAAATGGAAATCCATTAGAACTAAGGTTCTCTAGGAAAAGGGCAGGGTCTGGGTAATATGACTAAACATTAGATCTAAGCAAAGAGAGAAAGGTTCTTTCTCCTGAGAACTTATTCTGAAACCAGGTCTGTCCCCAAACCTAGCAATTCTAGGCGATGACTCAGGACCATGCAATGGGGAGTGTGAGGCTGGAGACAGCAGTGGAGAAGACTGAAGCCAACAGGAAGGTAGCTGCCAGCCTGCCTGCACCATGAAAGACCTCCCAGATAAACATGGAGGGTCAGTCCATAACATCCCACCCCACCTCCTATACTCATGTCACCAAAAGACTGGCTGCTCTATGTCTACATCTCCCCTCAACCCGTGTAGCTATTGCGACACCTTTTCTTCTTCAAAGATGTTTAGCAAACACTCATTCAATAAAAAATAAGCTTTTGCTGGCCAGCGTGAGTCAGTGGTTGAGCATCAACCTATGAACCAGGAGGTCACAGTTCAATTCCAGGTCAAGGGCACATGCCTGGGTTATAGCTCAATCCCCATTGTGGGGCATGCAGGAGGCAGCCAATCAATGATCCTCTCTCATCATTGATATTATATCTCTTTGTCCCTCTCACTTCCTCTCATAAATCAATGAAACAGTTTCTTTAGAAATAATAAGCTCCTATAACAAGTTAAGGAATATCCATAGATAGATAGATATATCAAAATTATATTAACCTTCAAGGCATTATTCTTCATTTTGAAGAAAAGGAAATAAAGTCCATGAACATAGTAGAGGACAGAATAGGTTGAGTCCAGAGTCTTTGATGAAAGCTTTTAAACTAAACCCTGAGCCCTCCAGACAGTGATACATAAAATATGTCCCTTGTTCTCATGGAGCAATGGAAAACACAGACACGTAAATGGAAAGCTTTGATACAATCCTACATTCTCTCTAGGTTGAAGGCAAACACTGGAGGCTGTAAGAGCAAAGAAGATGTTCAACTAGAAATGGTGGGGGGGAAGGTACATGTGAAATCAGCAATTCAGTTACTGCTTTTTGAAGAGTTGAATTTTTCAAGGTGGAGAGAAGGCAAGTCATTCGAAACAGAAGATGAATGCAAAGTCACAGAGGCAAGAGTGAGATGTCAGGGAACCCAAAAGCATGTTCCTTAGATGTAAATGTCTTTGGCACTGTGGCTTGCAAACACCCTGACTTTTCCCAGCCACCCCCAGAGATGGGACTCTGCCCTTTTGTGACAAATGAACTTGTGATCTGGTGCTCTGAAAAGAAATAAGGGCTTAGGGGACCCCAGAAACTATTTTTTCCCCTTTCTTTTCCCTTCTCTGACTCAGACATCCCAATCTTATCACAAAAGGTTACAATTTTCCTGGGAAGAGATTGTGCTGACCTTGGGTTTTCACAACGAGTGTGGTATTTCTGCTTGGCTGCACAGCCTGCTGAAACACTGCTAAAATAACTAGTGAGCAAGACATCCCAAAGGCAAGCAGCTGCAAAATGAGGGCCAAGCCGGCATCGGCCTGTGGTCAGTTCACCT